AAATATTCTTTAATAACTAAAGTGATAGCAATAAAAGGTTTCTATTATAAAATTTCTGGGACCATTTGAATGTTTCTGTTAATGTGTCGATTTGGTCTTAATTTCATTACTAATGGTCTTAAAAGTTCTTTAAAAGGTCTTAATTTAACTTACTGAAACCTGCATGAACCCTGATATATATTTGAGTTAATTTATTAAAATATTTATTTTCATTGGCTTATGAAACAAACGAAGACCCCCATACCTAGTGCAAAAACATTTCAAGGTCTTGTCACAAGATATGATTTATGGTTCATTTACTGTCTAGTTTTCCCAAAGCTGTCATTTTATTGATGTGAATATTTCACTACTGTTGTGACAAAAATGAATTCAGTCTGACTATTGCATAATATAGCATGATAGTCAACCATTCCTCTTTATGGCTTTGAAATGCCTTCAAGAATTTAATGCCTGGGATGTGATGGGATCTACAATAACTCTTTAGTTAAAGGAGTTACTAAAACATCTAATTTYTCTCTTGAATCAGTAAAGTATTTTTGAATTGAAGTGAATGTTGTGAATCATTAAGGATGCAAACATCAAACACTCCCTTTTCAGGGAACTAAAAGTCATTAAAGATGGATTCTTGTGAAGCTTTTTGAAGAACTCAATAGTTTTTAGACATTTGGGGCCAATGAAATAAATACTTAATGTTCCACATGAATGTATCAGACATTTATGCCTCCCGATAATGTCACCCCAACATTTAAATAGGAAAATATGTTTGATTTGTAGATTAATCTTAAGCAACTGTTCAGTCCAGAGTAAAAGTTATTTTGATTAAAGTTTGTTATGTGTGGTGTGATTTGTGTTTAATTCATTACCACGCTCTTTTAACCCTCGAAGCTCTTATTTTGAAAGCGAATATAAACATCCCGTGAACCCGGAAGTGACTTCCTTTTAGAAGCTCGAGCATTTTTGCCAGTATCCGCATCTTCTGTGTTGATCTAATTTTCTTCGTAGCTTGTAAACGCGCATCAATAGACGTTTTGCTGCGGACTTCATTTGTGTAAAATAATTATATTAACTTTCATGGCTTTTCCCTCTCTGAAGCTACAACTGTTAGCATGTTAGCTGAAAACAATTGTCATTACCACTGAACATAAGAGCGAGTCAGACCGAAGCGTTGATGGTGAGCAGACTGCTTCTGAGCATCATGGTGATCAAGAAGAGTAAAGTTTGTGCTGTGATCGTGTGAAAACCTCAGAGGTTCAAGAGCGTTGCAGGAAAAACAACTGAGGCGGACGGAGCAGCAAGCAGTGAAGAGATGGACTCTGACGTGGATGGTATCCATGTTCTTTTACATCTCTTAACTGTTAATTATCAAGCAACACTACTTTTCACCTATCTTTGTTCGTTGATCTGAATCAAATAAGGAAGTTCTGAATCATATTAAAGCTTTTGGATTGTTTACCACTTCATTAATGTTGCAAAAACGAGTTTATAATGTAGCCAATCCATCCTTCTGGTTGTCCCAGTTAATCTCTCACTGATTAAACTGAATTAATTAAAGCTGATATTTCATCACTTAAAAGCTATAAATTAAATTTACACCCAAAATGAGGTTTCCACAAAAAAAAGTTCAGTTTAGTAGATATTTGTCAATTAGCATATTGTGTTATTAACATTATTTTAAAAACATAATTATTAAATATTATGGTAAAATAATGTTTTTAATCTTGTTTGTGTTTCTGGTTCCTTCAGATGCCCAGCAAATCTCAGTGATCAAAGAGGAGTTTCTTCATGAGCAACAGAACTGGAGTCCCAGTCTGGACCAGGAGGACCAGAAGCCACCACAGATTAAAGAAGAACAGGAGGAGGCTGATATTATGAAGTTTATATTCACTCCTTTCCATGCGAAGGGTGAAGATGCTGAAGAAAAATCTCAGTCCTCAGATCTTCATCTCAGCCAGTTTGAGGAGAATAAACGCTTTGTGGGTTCAGAACCAAGTCAATATTTGCAATCAGAGGCAAATGTCAGTTATGGAAACTGCAAGGAGAGCTGTGAAACCATCCCTGAGGATACTAAATGTGAGGGCAGTCAGAATTGTTACAGCTGCACAGAATGTGCTAAAATATTCTTTCATAGGTCAGACTTTTTAGAGCACAAAGGAGTCCACACAGGAAATAAACCTTTCAGCTGTTCCGTGTGCAAAGCAGCATTTACGAGAAATAATACTTTAGTAGAACACATGAGAATGCACAGCGGAGAGAAACCTTTCAGCTGCTCCATCTGTGAAGCTGCTTTTTGCAGAAAACATACCTTATTGCAACACATGAAAATACACAGTTCTGAGAAACCCTTTAGCTGCTCTATTTGTGGAGAAGCCTTTACGAGAAAAAACAGCTTACTGCAACACACGATAAAGCACAGTGGAGAGAAGCCTTTCAGCTGCTCCCTTTGTGGTCAGAAATTAAGTAGTAAGGTAGGACTGAAATATCACATGAGAATCCACACGGGAGATAAACCTTACAGCTGCTTTTTTTGTAACAAAGCTTTCCAAAGCGAAACCAATTTAACGGAACACGTAAAAAACCACACAGGTGAGACGCCGTACAGCTGCTCGATCTGTGGCCAAAGCTTCAGCTACAAGTCTGGTGTAACCCGTCACATGAAGTGTCACAGTGAAGAGAAACCCTACAGCTGTTCAGTTTGTACAGCAGTGTTTAAAAGAAAGCAGGATTTGATAGGACACCTTAAAATCCACTCAGATGAAAGGCCTTTCGTGTGTTCTTTTTGCAGTGCAGCTTTTAAAAGGAAAGTCACTTTAGAGGAGCACTTAAGAATCCACACTGGAGAGAAGCCGTTCAGTTGCTCAGTCTGTGACCTGAGGTTCACTTACAAGTCGAGTCTTACACATCACATGAAAGATCACACAGGAGAAAAACCTTTCAGCTGCTCAGTTTGTTCAACAGCATTTAAGAGAAAGCCAGATTTAATGGAACACGAAAAAATCCACACAAAGGACAGATCGTTCATATGTTCGTATTGCGATGCGTCTTTTAAAAGGAAGTCCACTTTAGTTGCACACACAAGGTCTCACACTGGAGAGAGGCCTTACAGCTGCTCGGTGTGTGGTCAGAGCTTCAGCTACAAGTCAAATCTGAGTTTTCACATGAAAAGCCACACAGGAAAAAAACCCTTTAGCTGCTCCGTCTGTGGGGAGAGTTTCAAATTCAAATCAACCCTTTTACACCACGCACGAACTCACAAAGAAGACAGGCCTTTTAGCTGTTCCATCTGTAATGCGACTTTCAGATATAAACGTTATTTAGAACCGCACGTAAAAAGCCACGCAGGAAATCTACCTTTCAGCTGCTCAAGTTGTAAGGCATCATTTAGAAGAAAACGGGATTTGGTGAAACACAAGAATTCATGCACGTAAATAGACTCACAGCTGCACAGTCTTGTCAAATCTTAAATATGGTTAAATTTGTTATTTCCTATAGACCTAACTTTCAGACAAGCTTAAATAAAATACATTTTTGTTATAATTTTTGTTCTCCCTGAAAATTCCACATTGCTCACAGGTTGTGTGATGTTCTGACTGTAAATGTCAATGTTATCATAGATTGTGTAATTTCAAAATAAATGTGCACAAGTTGAAAACTTGTTGCTTCCTTAAGTCATCTTCAAATGAAAATGAAAGTTGCTCTGAGACGAAGAGTTTTTGGACTTTGCGTATTTTATTGGTAAATAATGAAGTGACCGGTTTTAAAGTATAAACTGTGTGATTGAAAAATTTATCAACTCTTTTAAAGATATCTAAAGTCACTCTACTTAGTCTTTGACGACTGTCAAAGTTTAACCTTTGAAAAAAAATTATTTTAAAAATGATGACTTTTAAAAACAGTACTTCATGAACACTAGCGTTTGGTTTAGGTTGGTGGCGCTCGTGCTTCAAATCGCTGGTTTTTTTACACGCAAATACAATCGAAGAAGAAGAAACTGAAGCTAATTTCTTTAGCAAGCAGCTGTAACTCAATCGGAGAGACAGCAGGCGCAAATCGTGACACCGCACCTGCCACCGGAAGTGCCAGTATGAGGTGCGGTGTCACGATTTGCGCTCGGCCCTGCTGTCAGTGTCTGTGTGGGAGTGAAGTGTGACAGGTTTCTTAACCGTCTCTGCAGGAACACATTACAGCACAAGGTTTCTACATCTAAAATAAATCTGCTCGAGCATTTGCAGGTGTGTGATGAATAAAATGAGACCTTTAAGTGATAAAAAATGTTCATCAAATTGATCTTCACCAGTTTCTTCATGCCTGACCTTGTTTGGAGGACTGCTCAGCTTGACCCTCTGTTTCAGTTTGGCTGAGCAGACTTGTCACGCCCTGTTTGCCTCTTTGGCCCCTTTGCATCCACCCGCTACCCCCCCCCCCCCCCCCCCCCCCCCCAACACACACACACACACACACACACAAACACACCAAGCAGCCAGCAACACTGCCTTTGCACATGTTTTTGTGCAGAGGATGAAAT